CATATTAACCTAATTCATTTAATTTTATTCACGTTTGTTTAAAGTTATTATATGCTTATTCCAGATATTTACGATTTATTCGATTTCAAAAATGTTTTGTTGCCCAGAAATTTTATTTTTTTATAGACTTAAGGAATAATAATTCTGTCAGTATGACGCAGTACACCGTACCAAGAAATGGGCAAAACCTTCTTTTGGTTCCTCCGGTTTGTTTTGTTTAACCGATCATTCACTAAAAATCTGTGCTTCCATCTTCGCTTATTTTTGTATATGTGTGCAGATTTTTCCTCAAATAATTATAGATTTCAACAATTAACAAATAGGATTGTTTTTTGACAAATAGGATCGTTTTTTGATTCTGATTGATTCTTCATTTTTTTTCAAAATTTCTTGGTTACTCATCAGGATCAGGCATTACTTGATTTAAAGTCGTCAGCAAAGTATTGTAAAATGTTCCGGTATTTCAAAAATTTAGTTTAAGAATTATGTATATGGAAACGAAAATGGGTCTACATTCAGTCTGTTCGACACTTCGCAAAGGTATTTTGATTGTTATCGATTGCATCTTATATTAGAAAATTTTTTTAGAAAAAATTAGAAAAAAATTTTAAAAATAAAAAAAATCAAAAAATAAAAAAAAAGTAAAAAATTATATTAGAAAAAAAAAAAGAAATTCAAAAGCTTTTTAACATTTTTACCTCTGTCTTGATTGATCTTTGTAATGGCACAATTAGCGGTGGAATTTGTTAAACTCACAGCTGTATGGTTAAAAACGTTTGTTCGATTTATTAAAACCATATTCTACTGCACCTCTTTGTCGTGATAGTCTCATTTCGTACAGAAACTTGTTTCTACTAGATAAATTTTCTTTTGAGTCATTGACATGTTTTTTTTTTTTTTTTTTTCAGATGCGGACTTTACAGAATTCTCGTTTTCCATGTCACGTTTATAAAAAAATACTTTTTTGAAAATTTCTTTCAACTGAGTAAAAACTATCAGAAGCTAACTTTTACAAATTTTTTAGCCTATCGAACTTTTACAGTAGACTGGGTGCATACCAAAAAAAGAAGATCTCATTGTGAAGGTCCTGTGACACTGTTATACAGTGCTCAAATTATTAGAAATAGCAGTTTGGTAGTGGAATTAAGTTGAGATTGAAGTGGTTTTTTTGCAGGACTTGTATATCAGTGAGAAGATATTTTTTTGACTTTTTTACTTTTTTAGTCATGCAAAATGCAAGATAAACACTCATTTGCTCTTTAGTGTTTTTTAAGGGAAATAAGTTGTCATGTGCAATCAAAACTGACGTTTGAAGATGCCCCAAATAATATTCTGGACCGGCTTGATCCACAAACTCTTTTGAAACTTGCAAAAGATCGTGACGGAATGCTGTGAGTTCTTTAAAAACTCTGCTTTTCAGTTATCGCTGATATATTAAAGAAGAATTTGTTTAAATGGTCTCAAAGTCAAAGCAAATTATATGATCGAGCGAATTGTTTTTAGGTAGTTGTTTGGTATTTGCTTTAGTTGCCGTGAAAATGGTTGGGCCGTATTTTAGTTTTTCATCCCCTTCATCATTTCTGTTTATAGTTGCTTAAGCTTTTTTCTCAGGAGGACTGCATTTAGTTATGATAGATTCATTATATTATTGCAGTAGAGTGAGGTTTACTATACAGATTTTTATTGTTTTGACTGCGGTGAGTTTTGCTTTTTAGGTTATTTGTTCGGGCACACTTTTATAATCAAGTAGTCTTTTCAATTTAGATTTTTTGAAAGGGAGCTTTTTTCTGTAAGGGGGAACTGGATGTTTGCGAAAGTCATCTTGTTGTGTTGAAGAATGAAGGCATGAGTTATGAAACGGGTATATAAGGCTCAATAAAGTTTTTCAAATTAGTTGTGATGATTTGAACTGAACTTTCTGAAATGGGTATGACAGCAGTTCTATTGAACTTGTTGAACTCGCCAGTCAAGAAGTTTTACGCTTCAGATTGCTTAAAAGTCACTTTCCTGCACGGGGAACTGGTATTCGCACAAAATTTTATTCTACGGTACTACAGCAAGCAGCCTTCAGTGAACTTATCGATCACTCTTCGGGGAATTTTTTAATTCAGGTACAATTCAGGTTTTAGGCTTGATAGTATTGCTTTGTTTTTCATGAATCTTTTGAACATGTTTTGTTTTTTGTTTTGCTTAATACAAATCTTGGCTGAATATGAAAGCATCTGCGGATATCTGTTGAAAATCTGGTGTATTGTCTCTCAAACAGTTTATGCTGTTTGAATTTAAAGAAGGCCAATATACTTATAAATTAGGATTTATAATTTGGGGAGGGATAAAAGTCTTGTTTCTACTTTTCTATTAGCGTTTGGTAAGTTGGAACTGTGCGACCTTCGCTTCACTTAGTCTTCCAAACGGTTTGTTGAGTAGTATAACATTCAGGAAAAATTAATAATTTTAGAAGATGATTGACGAAAGCGATGGTGCTGAACTGCTTCTGATTGAAGAAATGATGCTAAAGCAGTTGCCTGAGTTGTGTAACGGTTGTTATGGCTGTCGTGTTGTGCAGCAGATGATTGAACGCATTCAAAAACAATGCCCCTCACGGTTGGCAGCTTTTATTTTGGGCTTAGCTGGTCATGAATGCCATTTAGCCCTAGCGCAGACAGGAAGTCATGTCTTGCAAGTAATTTATTCAACGTTTAGTTTTTTTTATAAATTGTTGGGTTTTTATTGTTGTAGCGGTGTGCTGAGTAAAGAACATTTTGAGAAGTAAAAGTGAAACTTTGGCATCTACCTACGGATGAAATCCTTCAGCTTAATATTTTGATTTGTTCTTAGTTCGCTTTATCTTTAGTCCCTGTTTTTGAGTGTAGCAGTCAAGGTTTTCTTGCAGAAGATATTCAAATGCGCACCGTTTGAGTCTTACGAGTTTATACTTAAAGCATTCGTTTTATCCTCTTCTACACTTGAAACAATTGTTGAAGACAAATATGGTTGTAGAGTAGTGCAGTTGGTTTTACAGGTAAAAATTAATTTTCACACATTTTGCTTTAGCCATCCATCGAAAGACTACTGAAGTGATGATTTATATTGTATTACTTTGGTAGATTTCAGCAGTTAAAAGCAGAGTTATCAAGTAATCATAACGAGCAAGTGGCATTTTTTTTCAACACATTTATTGGAATAATGAAACGAAAGGCATTGTATTTCATATCGCATCAGTACGCTAACTACATAATGCAGGATTTGCTTTCTCTGGAAATGGAGAGTATAGCCAATTGTAGTCCTCAAAGTAGAAGTCTTGCTTATGGATCTGAGACTACGAGTCGGACTACAGTTATTGAAACTATCATGTATGTGTTGACTATCATGTCCTTTCTTTGGCAATGGTGTATGTAGGCTCTTTATAACACTGATCCTGTTTATCTGAGTGTGTATGGTGAAGGAATAGGTAACTTCATGACCAGAAAAGAATAACTCTGATATCTAATTTCGATCTTCTGCAGCTATAAAATTATTGATGTAATGATTAAATTTGTTAAAAAATTAGCGAAGCTTTTGTCTGATTGGCTCCTTTTGCAGCACTAATCTGCTGTCATTATCACAAGAAAAACATGCGTCTCATGTTGTTGAGAAAGCATTTCACAGTGCTCCGGAGCCAGTGCTTTCTACAATGATGCATGAAGTATTTGAGGGATACGAATGTGATAGGTAAGTCGTTTGAAATTGATATTTTGTACAGCTATTTTAAAACACTGTGCAGAGTTTTAAAACAGTGAGATACAAGAGAAGGTTTTGTTGATGAAGCCTGCCTATACGACTTAAATTCGCTTGCAACAATGCAGTTAATTTAAAAATTTTTCTCCAGATCTGAAATTCGCCTTCTATGGGAGGTAATAGGATTACTACAAACCTAAGAGAGCGTGTTGAGCTGTGCAGCTCTCAATGACCGGTCTGGTTCAAAAAAGTGCCATATTTGTGGGAATTGTGATAATGTAGACAAGAGTTTATGTAAGACTTGTAGGTTATCCCGGAGTAAGTACAGAGGAAGCTGGTTACCATTTCTGTATTAATATTGAGAAATGACGCTTTTCTTGATTCAGCCGTTATCGCGGGGTTAAATGGAGCAGTACTTCTGAAGTGTTTTGAGACTTTAAACTTGTTGTCTTTTCAGCTCCTTTATCCAAAAACAAAACCAACACCCCTGGCGACTAGAACAAAGAATTTAAGATTTTTTTGGCTCGACTTACTTATCTAGTGACTCCCGCCCTCCTAATTTAAGCCCTACAAGTTTCTTTCTATTTTCGTGAAGGACGACTCTCAAGCCATTCTAACATCTTTTCAGGGATGGTAATGACGCACTGAACGTCCTGATGTTTGATCAGTATGGGAATTATGTTGTGCAAACGATGATTGATGTGGCACTTGAAGTTAAGCAAGGGATTCGGAAAGGCAAAGTTGAGTGGTATAACCGTCTTGTGGAGAGAGTTAATGTGCAGCAAACTCGGCTTTTAAATTTCTCTTCTGGGAAGCGCATTATAAGCAAACTAGTGGAGGTCAAATTTAAAGTCGTTAAGTTATGATAATCTTTATGAGAAAAATCATTTTTTCTCTAATTAAAAATCATGAATTCGGGATCACCACTGCCATTGAAAATGTGTATGGTGATAGTTGTTGGTTTCAAGTTTAATAAGGGTTGCATCTTTATGTAAAGGGAAAAATGTGGATTTTTGTGTTTCACTGATACAGGTTTGAGAAATTCGAAACAGTGATTGTGTGACCAATTCTGTGTTAATAAATCATAGTCAAGGTTGGTAAAGAGGCACTTCAGTGTTTAGTGTTTGAAACTTCAGGGGTACCTGACCAATGATTGCTTTCAGGCCGGAGCACTCACACCAGTGGAAAATGGTACAGCTCCTTTAGCTTCAATTCCTGCGAAATTCCACTAACTGCCTCATTTGTATAGCTAACTTTCAGTGACATTTTTTAATCCCTTTACGTTGTGAAAGAGCCGGATTCTCTATTATAATTTGTAAGAAAAGCGATATCTTTTTAAGTTGTATCTTTCTATTTTCTAGCAGTTGCTGTGTTAAAGGGCACTTTATAGCGCAAACTGTATAGCAGTTTTTGTCGTCCTCCCGTGAACTGAAACTGTTTGTAATTACTGTATCTGCGAATAGTTTATGCATGAAGATTGGGACAGTGTCAGTCTTGTTTAATTTCCTTTTTTTTTGTTTTGTAAAATTGTTTACGTATTGAAAGGTTGCCAAGTTTAATAAAATTTAGTAATGTTTTAACCAGTATTTACGGCATAATAGCGTTAAAATACTTTGTAGAGTTCGAGAGGCTACTTTGCCCTCCTACGACATGACATGTTGTTCTAGTCTGTCAGTGAGCCATACTCTTCCGTTGTTTGAGGCTAAAAATGAATTGAAAGCATTTCGAAAGTGGTATGATGCTGGACACTTCCCACCAGCAACACAGTTCAGCAACTGCTCCTCCTCAGCTTCACATTTGCCACGACCACTTAAATTCATATTAAACTGCCAAAACAATTTACTCGTATAGCTGATTGCACCAACAACCGCATCACCACATTTGATGCTTCCGCCATCGAAGAACTAATTAGGGGAGAAGTAACAGCCCTCGAGTTCACAGATTTATTGTCGGGGGGCGCAGACTGTGCCTCACGCTAGACGTCCCATAGTTGAGCCCCCAACTGCCCCCAATCTCATAACCTCTGCTCCTCCTCTCACAAACCACGTACAACGGCCAGAGTTGCACTCTAGAACTGCAAAAGCCACTTACAAATGCAGCTCACTGTTTCACACGTGACACCACAATCAGGAAAAAGTACCAGCTTGGTTTCTGGCCCATAGGAACCCAGATTTACATGTAACACAAAATAATATATTTATATTTTATTCTTGCACAAATGTACAACTGACACGGTCACTTTGGCTGCAAAAAATAAAACGATTAAAAACTGTATAACTCGAAAAATAAAGGAATATGAACTCTGAAAATATATTGCCCGTTATGCATGAAAGCTATATAGCCTGTTTGCTCTGTAATGTGATTGTTTTTGTGTATGTGTGTGTTCAACACTTATGGAGCTGAAAGTAAATGTCTTTTTAACTTTGCATCAGCAGCAAAAAACAAGGATTTATCACATTTTTCATCATCATCTTCAGCATCACCAGCAGAACAGTGGAAAGTAGATGCGTCCAAAACGCACCCCGGATGAAATGGCTGAAAAATTTGCTGTATTTAAGTGGATCTAAGAACCTCGTCGTTCAATACCTATTTGAATAAACGCAGTAAGTGACTGTTTCAAAAATTGTCATTGGCAAGAAATATCATAAAAGGCTGCTCATTAAATATGAACTTTTACCCTCCCATCTGGTCCTAGCACACAGTCCTTTAAAATCCATGTATCCTCATCTTCGTCCCAGCATTCTTCAAACTTCTCTTTGCAGACACTGCATTCCTGAAATAGATGAACAGAAGTACAAAAAGACACTTAAAGCAAAAATAAACTCACTATCAGCACGTTACCAACGAAGGGCGTTTAAGAAAAGATTAGAAGTAACCTTCGATTCCACAGAGTCACATGACACGATGACTCTATTTCCAACTTCTTTAGCTGTGTCTTCTGCACTTACATGCACTAAAAGACGCATCGGTTAAGAAAGATAAGAATAAAAGATGATTTCAGAACTACGGTGGCACATAATACTAACCACATAAAATTAAATTCTAACTTACAAGATGCTTGTGAAGAAGAAGTGGCAAGAATATTCTTTTCCTCGCTATATTCTAGCCAACCCTAAAACCATAACCTCAATAAGAAATTGCCAATCAACACTGAACACACTAAAAAAACTCACTGTTAATAAAAAGATAAAACTATGAAAAATCGAGAAAACTGTCACCTCCAAAGAGATGTACCATTCGCGGCAACGCGACTTATCAGACGATTTCAAATTCTCGCGGAAATGCCAATCCAAGTGCTGCTGGTACTTTGCCCCCGTTAAGTCGTTAAAACGAAGGCCACAATTAGGACACAACTGCCGAGATTTATGCAAGGCTTCAATAACGGAGTCATACCGTCTAGAATGTTTCATTTAAAAAAACCAAAAAACTATCGCAGCTAGAATGCGTATCGGAACAAGGCAGTAATAAAGCGATATTATGAAATGAAAATTACATTTTCAACGCCCGCATTGAGAAATTTTTAAAATCTGATGGAGGTTTTGGCATGCGATCCGTTACTTCACCTCTATGTTCGGATGGAATAGGAGGAGTTGCAGAGCGACTGGGTGAGTCTCCTCCAGACTCTTCTTTCCGTGAGCTGCTTGTCGTTGTACCTTTCAAAGAAGAAAGAATTCCTCGCTTTTGTAAATTTGCAAGAAGTTCCTTAACGTCAACAGCAGGCTTCTTTTCTAAAACAACCATGCTTGAAACTTAATATAAAACACTTATCACTTAGGGTTAACGAAGATAAATAATACCAGGTGGCGGGTTGGCTGGCTTGCTCGTCTTCCGCGGCATATGTGGGAGCAACTCGTAACAAGGGTCAGGCTCAATCTTAACGTCTGGAGGAGGGCCACCCAACCTGGAAAAAATCGTTGCTTAATGAGCACAGGTGTCTTAAAATCTAAACTCAAATCAACAAATAAAATTACCTTATTTCATGACGAACTCCATTGATTGTAGCAAAAATAGGAGGACCACCAAATGCACCTTTGAAGGGATAATTACCCATGTATAACTCACGAGATGGGGCTCCAAACCTGAACTTTCCGGCCAAATAAAAAAAAATAATAAAAAATTTTAACCTTCTTCTACTAACTAGACAAACCTCAAAACGTGTTCCTCCCCATCAATTACGACTCGTTTTTCCTCCCCAAAATGTAATAAATGTGCAGTACCATCGATAATCACGTTGCGCGGAGCACCCGTAAAATAAATTCTGAAGAAAAATTCATTCATTATTTTGGAAGATATGCGTTTAAAAATGTAAAACAGCGCACTAAATTTGCAATGTTACTAAAGTACCTATGAGGTAGACCATTCCTTTCAATCACAGGAATATCATCAACAAAGAAAACTTCGTAAGCACGCCCATCAACAAAGATCCTGTTATTAGCTGGTATTCCCTCCAACTTTGGAGTGTCACTACTGATAATCGGTGGCACGGCAGCCGTGGGAGCAGGAACTACTGGTAAAACCGACGGTGCAACGATTGGAGCAACTACAGGAGCTGTAACAGGGACTCCTGGCGCCAAAAGCGAAGTGCCCGGTGGGATCATAGGTGGCATTTGAAGTTGCGAAGGAGCCAAAGGTGGAAAACCCGGCATGGGAACCACTGGCAAACCAGATACTTCTGCAGATGCGAAAGGAGTAGACTTCGATGCAACAACAGGCACCATTGAAGGAACAGATACTGGCATCATACCGGCAACTGTTGGTATGACCTATAACAAATTTTCCAAGGTACTTTTGAGAATGGAACATTTTACAACGAAAACTCCACTGGAGTGACCGAAATATTATTTAAAAAATCAGAAAGCATTACTTGCGGTATGACAGGAGCAGTGTAAGGCGCACGGAAAGGAACTGCAGACACGAAAGCATGAGTACCAAGGCTATTTGTTGGACGAGGAAGGGCAGTTGAAGTTGATGGTTGTTGTTCATTAATTTCAACTGGCGGAGTCTTCACGCTCCTTAACCTCTTTTCTTCCACAGCCATTTCACTAACTGGACCTCTCCGCTTCACACCGTTCTCTAAAGGAGATCGACGGCCAACCCCATTGGGTTCAATCCTGAAATGACGGGACTGATGTAGTGAACAGTTCAAAAGTAAACCATAATGGCTTTTGTCAGAAGACACAATAGCTGATTTAAAGAAATTTTCTTCCATCACATAAAAAAATCTTGCAAAAAAGTACCAGCGAGAATGTCCCTTAACAGCACTTTTGTCATCGCGCTCCTGTACAACCCTTTCATCAACATCGGTAGGGGGTTCACTGCAACGAGATTTATTTCATCAGACGGATAACTACCTTTACTGGAAACCACTCATGTAAAACAACTTACGTTACTTCCTGTTTCACTGCTGCTATGTTGAATGTAATTTTAGAGTCGCCTGTTGCACGAGTACCGACTGAAGACTCAGCTGTTTTCCCATTATTAGCAATTCTGTTGTTTGTTGCACTTCTCGCCAACCTTGGATCCGCGCCCTTCTTTTCAGTGGTTAATGAAGGCTGAAAAAAATAAATAAAACAACAAACTTACCTCCACCTGCTACGAAAGTGCCTTGGTAACAAGCGGAAATCATGACCCTTTCCCATCCTCTCAAATGTCACCTAACAACAATTCTTCAGGTGAACGAGCTGTCCAGAAAGGCAGAAAAAAAAAATAAATAAAACAAAAACGAAAATGCAGGAAAAATAAACTACTGCTTATTTAAATTGAACATTTTACAGACTTCTAAAAATTAGAAAATAACCACATAACAACACCATAGCCAAACTAAAGCTAAATAATATTATTAACCACATCACTGATGCAAATTGTAAACCATGAACCCCTCATACGCGAACGAGAATTACTTATTAAAGAAGACTGTTAAAAAGTGCAAGCACAACAAAGAAAAAAAATTTATTCAAAACCCGGAAATGGTTATCAATTGTGTACTTTATTATGTTCAATTCACTGTTGTGAACACAATAATAGTAAAGTAAAAAATAAGAGGGGTAAGCAATTAAGTTTAAATACAATACCAATTGTTGTTGCCCGTTTGCAACAGAATTTTTCTGGAAGAAATGCGGATTGACATGTACTTTACTATTGCGCGTATGCATTGCCGTCGTAGTAGTGTGGTTTGACTGTGATGCTGCAGAGGTTGAGGCAACACTGTGCGGCTGAGGCGTCACTATCGGCCAAGCTGGATCAATAGCGTGAACAGCAAGATCGATCTTGTACAAAGTAGAAGCCTTAAAGTAATCGTTCCAGGTCTGCCTCAACTTGTGTAAAGCCAAACGTGTCCTTTCATCACCCTTAAATAGTTAATATCGCCATGATTCGAGGCACAAATGCATCAAAAACTCGCTCAGAAAAACAAAGAGCACCAAAAATACAAGGTTAACTAAGAAGCAGAAAGACTTTTAATCCAGAAAACTAACCGTTTCAAAAACGTGCACAAAAACATCGTGAACTGATTTCTCGATATGTTCTTTATAATTTCCAGCACCCGTTAAATTCTTTAAAATTGAATCCATTACATACATCACCGGTAACTTTTGGATCGGAGGAACCTGTTTATAAAAAACAAAGGAATGAAACGGATAACAAAAGAACTGTTAAACCATGACAATCAAAAACATCACCAACCTTCTTTATTTGCTGCGCTATTACTTCAACAATATCTTTTGAAAAAGAGTTATAATCATCCGCCAATATAGTCATCAGATTTATTTGCATCTTGTTATTGTCCTTCAGATTCTCGAGAGCCAGTCTTAAAAATTTTTTAAATGGAGTGAAATACTTCTTAACAAAAAAGTAAACATAGATTTACTTAAATGGCACCACTGAACTTTCGTACAAGGGATGAGAAGTGCAACAGAATAAAAATGGCACTTAAGTTTATGGTTACCAGAAGAAGAAAAAACTTTCATTCGACATTATACGAGGACCCACAAATAAACAACATATTTATTATTACCTGTATTCAGACGCAGCCTCTTCGGAACTTCTGGACATGCTTATCACCAATGTGAAATACTCTCCCGTCGAAGCAAGACCTCTAAACCTCGAAAGTACTAATGTATAACTGTCACCAATGCCAAACACGCAATGAAACGACAAATTCAACAAAAAATGTAACTCGACCCAAGCTTCCAATAAAACAAAAATAGAGCACTTTTGACCGAATTAAGCATATTACTCAAAAATCATTCTGATACCACGAAACCCAAAAACAACAAACGTGCACAGATGACCGCAAAATCCAATAATAAACCTATGCAAACCACATTGGCAAAAGCTAATTATGAACTGTTTCTTAAAAACCCAATCAGCACTGGCCGAACAGAAAAAAATGACCACTTCAGCTGGATTACGAGGATCCGAAGAAGGAATTTAGGAAAACAACACATGGTTCATCTAAACACAATAAAATAAAGCCATTCATGGACGTTCCAATTACATACTTTTTTCTTTTTTTGCTTGCAACCATCGGCTGAAACAATTAATGGAAATAGAGCAACTTCAGAACCAAATGATGCGATCGTCCCTCCCTCCATTCTCATAAGTAGTCCCAACACAAACCAAGTAGATTGTCTACATATTTGAAAAAAAAAAAAAAAAAAAAA